TTATTGGCTAAACTGTATAATTTCTGGTGCTCAATATCTAACATCCTGTTTTTAATCTGCTGAAATGTAGCAACAGAGGGCAGCATAGACAATGATTCTATAGAAAGACCCAATACTTTATTTCCTCAATGTGTGCTGACCAATTTGACACATTGAGGACAGAGAGCATGTGATATACGAGGCTCCCAGGTTCAAAGTTATAGTGTAGACGTAGCCAGTATTTGAATGTCATAAGCCATGCACAAGTTTCCATTAAAGACGAGCCGGTTTCTAGATACATAACCGCATTTGAGACACATTTTGGCAAGCCCAGAATTTTCCGCAGGAATTTGGATTGGACACGCTCAATGGCACAGTCAAAGGACCTAATCCAAATTGGGATACCATATAGTAGCTGTGAAATCACTTTGGTCTTGAAGATTTTTATTGCAGCCGGCACAAACTGGATGCCCCTGCAGTAAAAGAAACGTGCTATAGCCGATGCACTAATGCTAGCTGCCTTTGCTACATGTTTGCAGTGGGTAGACCAGGTTGCATTGTATTGAAAGTGAATACCTAGGTATTTGTAATGTTTAACTTGTTCTATCACTTTGTCATCAATGGCCCGTTTGTATGATCTCCACTTTTTAGAAAACACTAGGATTTTAGGTACCATTTGGGTCCGCGGGCGAGCTACAATACGCTCGCCGCCCAAACAGGGTTGGGGTGGGATATTCAGTCAGGCCCTCAGGGCAAGGTGGTCCGACCATGGCACCGTCAAAGCAGTGATCCAGTCCACTGTGACCCCCGCCGCAAAGATCAAATCGGGCGTGGGCCCAGCTCGGTGAGTGGGGGTTGTTACTTATTGGGAGAGCCCCAGTGCCGCCATGGACGATACTAGGTCCGCTGCCTGCATAGAGGTCGCATCATCAGCATGGACATTGAAATCACCCAGGACTATCAGTCTAGGGTGTTCCAGTGCCCAGTCTGATATGGCCTCCACCAGGGAAAGCAAGCTATTGGCCGGTGCATTGGGCGGTCGGTACACTAGCCAAATTGTTAAACTTCCACACCAGGCCGGCACACTCGATGCCTGTGATCCTTGGTGGTGGGAGCACTCTGAAGGAGTAAGACTCCTGAATGAATAGGGCCACTCCCCTGTGCCCCCTAGTCCATGATTGGTGAAGGACTAAGAACCCGGGAGGAGCTAGCTGGGAGACAGCTACTGTCTCCCATCTTGCACCCAGGTCTCAGTCATGCACGCCAGGTCTACCTTCTGCTCGAGGAGGAAGTCCCGAAGGATCGTGGTCTTGTTGTTTATAGACCTGGCATTGCACAACACCAATGTCGGAGAGGGGGTCATTAATCCTAGCCCCACTGCATACAACCTTTGGGATGGGACACAGACCGAAAAGGGGCTGAGCTATTCTACTTCTCCATCCTCTTCCCTTGACTCCATGCCTGGTCCCACCTATACTTTCCCCTCCCCAGGAGCACTGGAATTCCCTGCCCGGGCATTAGCACACCTGGTGGTCTTCGCTACCTGCAACCAGCTAGAGCCTCAGACTGACCAACTTAGTTGGCTGATGTTATTATTCCAGTATGTGCCACTGCTCTTAATACATGTTGGTAGATGTTCCCTGCTTGCTCAATTATCACCTGTTTCTAAATTTGATATTATAATCTAACCATTAAATTTCCTTACAGCCCATACAATTTAACCTAATAGCCTCTGATTGCCTTTTTCTTTATATTTCCCCCCTTTTACTTTAGCCAGTAATTTAAATAAAGGCTGACATATCAATGACAACTATGACTTAAAGCTATACCAATCTCTTATTGATCAATTTATAAAACAATCAATTAATAATCAATCATTTGTATAAGACAGTAATGCAGTATAACCTATTAATTCATTAAGTTATCCCCCAGTTAGGGCCTTCAATTCGTGGTAATGGCTGTAAACATTGCATCATAATGTTTTGGTTTGTTTACATTATCTGTCAAGCCATGTGGGATTTGTTAGATTAATTGGCCCCCCCCTTGCTTGGGCACCCTGATCTTACACACAGTGATTCAGAAATGTGAGATATTAGGGAATTATAAGCTAACATGGCTGCAGCAGGATCCGTAACACTTAATAAGGAGGATCTAAACTCCACAGCTTAACCAGACTTAAAAAGTTGCCAAGTTTTCTGTTCTGTACAGTCATTCCAAAATATTCTAGGCAGTGAATTGATCTTGGGAGATTGTGAAATCAAATTGCAGAGAGGGTTGGAATGAAGAGTGACTTGAAAAGTCAAAATTAGGGGGAGATGGTCACTAATAGTGGAGTCATCCACTGTGCAATCTTTAACATAGGGTTTCAGTGATGGAGAAATTAGGACATAATTGATCACACTGCAGCCCCTCCTGGAAACAAAAGTGAACTCTCCAGAGTCTGGAAAGTCAGTCAAACCATTTGACTAAATTCTATTATATTGCATACAAAATTTAGCAAGACAAATACCCGCTGAGTTTAGGCTGTCCTTGGATTGTCTTGCATAAGAAAAAGTGGGTGGAAGAGTGTCATCTTGATCAGTTTCAGTAACTTTGGGAAATATACTACAGTCCTTACCTACCCTTGCATTAAGGTCACCTGCTAAAATTATTTCAGTGTATGGGAATTTCCTCTCTAGTTCCTCCATAAGTGTAAAGATTGAAGGTCAAAGAAGAAGGGGATGGGAAAGGATGAGACGGTTAGACAGTGTCATCGATTGAAGGAACATGAAATTAAGCAAACTCTGGAGAACGGTGGAAGACAGGAGGGCCTTGCGTGATGTGGTCCATGGGGTTGCGAAGAGTCAGACTCGATTTTGCAAAAGAAGAAGAAGATTGGATTTATACCCCGCCCTTCACTACCCAGAGGAGTCTCAGAGCGGCTTACAAACTTCTTTCCCTTCCCCTCCCCACAACAGACACCCGGTGAGGCAGGTGGGGCTGAGAGAGCTCTTGACAGAAACTGCTCTTTTTTCAAGGACAGCTCTTATCAGAACTATGGCTTGCCCATGGTCATCCAGCAGCTGTATGTGGAGGAGTGGGGAATCACACCCGGTTCTCCCAGATTAGAGTCCGCGCACTTAACCACTACACCAAACTGGTGTAGAAGGAGGAGGAGGAGTAGGAGGAGTTTGGGTTTATACCCCGCCCTTCACTACCGAAAGGTGTCTCAGAGCGGCTTACAAACTCCTTTCCTTTCCCCTCCCCACGACAGACACCCAGTGAGGTAGGTGAGGCGGAGAGAGCTCTTGACAGAAATGGCTCTTTTTTCCCCAAGGACAGCTCTTGTCAGAACTACGGCTTGCCCAAGGTCATCCAGCAGGTGCAAGTGGAGGAGTGGAGGAATTAAACCTGGTTCTCCCAGATTAGAGTCCGCACACTTAACCACTGCACCAACCTGGCTCTCTAAGCTGAGTTTGAGCTAGATCACAGTTTTTTAGCCTCCAACTCACAGGTTTTTGTCTTAGCTCAATGTTAAGTCGCTCGCTTAACAAAGAAGTCGGAGAGTGATTCAGCAAGAACACAACTTTATTCTTCCACTCCAACACAACTCCAACACGGATCAACATCTGATAGCCAGAACAGCCTTTACATTGCAGCTGTCCTGCTTTTAAACATTCCCAGCTAATGTAGCCACACCCACTGTACAAATACCAACCAATAAAGTTGTTCACATAAGGACCAATCACGGATGTTCCCGCTCAGGGAGCTTGCTAGAAGGTGATTGGTTAGGTGCTTCCTGGGCTAGTAACACCATTGGATGGATTTGGATCCTAGCCCAGGACGAAGCTTTACATTGCACTTCAATTAGATGTTTCACAACATATAATGCATTCAAGGCAGCTTTGAATACACTACAATTCCTCCCCCCTAAGTAAAAACAATCATGTACACTCGTAATCACTTAGGTAGGTC